AGAACTCTTGGGTGAATACCATCTGGTCCTGGTGACTTATTACTGTTTAGTTTATCAATTTGTTCCAAAACCTCCTCTAATGACACCTCAATCTGGGACAGTTCCTCAGATTTGTCACCTAAAAAGAATGGCTTAGGTTTGGGAATCTCCCTCACATCCTCAACCGTGAAGACCAATGCAAAGAATTCATTTAGTTTCTCTGCAATGGCCTTATCGTCCTTGAGTGCTCCTTTAGCATCTCGATTGTCCAGTGGCCCCACTGGTTGTTTAGCAGGCTTCCTACTTCTGATGTTCTTAAAAAAAATGTTTGCTGTTACTTTTTGAGTCTTTGGCTAGTTGTTCTTCAAATTCTTTTTTGGCCTTCCTTCCTAATTATATTTTTATACTTCATTTGCCAGAGTTTATGCTCCTTTCTATTTTCCTCACTAGGATTTAACTTCCACTTTTTAAAGGATGCCTTTTTGCCTCTCACTGCTTCTTTTACTTTGTTGTTTAGCCATGGTGGCTCTTTTTCAGTTATCTTACTATGTTTTTTAATTTGGGGTATACATTTAAGTTGAGCCTCTATTATGGTGTCTTTAAAAAGTTTCCATGCAGCTTGCAGGGATTTCACTTTTGGTGATGTACCTTTTAATTTCTGTTTAACTAACCTCCTCATTTTTGTGTAGTTCCCCTTTCTGAAATTAAATACTACAGTGTTGAGCCGTTGTGGTGTTTTCCCCACCACAGGGATGTTAAATTTAATTATATTATGGTCACTATTACCAAGCGGTCCAGCTATATTCACCTCTTGGACCTGATCCTGTGCTCCACTTAGGACTAAATCAAGAATTGCTTGTCCTCTTGTGGGTTCCAGGACTAGCTGCTCCAAGAAGCAGTCATATAAGGTGTCAAGAAACTTTATCTCTGCATCCTGTCCTGAGGTGATATGCACCCAGTCTATATGGGGATAGTTGAAATCCCACATTATTGAGTTATTTATTTTAATAGCCTCTCTAATCTCCCTGAGCATTTCACAGTCACTATCACCATCCTGGTCAGGTGGTTGGTAATATATCCCTACTGCCATATTCTTATTATTCAAGCATGGAATTAATATCCATAGAGATTCTATGGTACAGTTTGGTTCAATAAAGATTTTCACTTCATTTGATTCTATGCTGTCTTTCACATACGTGCCACTCCCCCACCAGCACGACCTGTTCTGTCCTTCTGATATATTTTGTACCCTGGTATTACTCTGTCCCATTGATTATCCTCATTCCACCAAGTTTCTGTGATTAATTATGAGTTTGGTGCTCTAATGTATTATGCAGGTTGAACCTCTCTAGTCCGGCACTCTCGGGACCTGACTGGTGCCGAACCAGAGAATTTGGTTTCCTGGTGCAAGTGCTGGAGGAACCAACTGGGGCAGAGCTCTTCTTGACCTGCTGCTCACAAACCGGGAAGAATTAGTAAGGGAAGCAAAGGTGGATGGGAACCTGGGAGGCAGTGACCATGAGATGGTCGAGTTCAGGATACTGACACAAGGAAGAAAGGAGAGCAGGAGAATACGCACCCTGGACTTCAGAAAAGCAGACTTAGACTCCCTCAGGGAACTGATGGGCGGGATCCCCTGGGAGAACAACATGAGGGGCAAAGGAGTCCAGGACAGCTGGCTGTATTTTAAAGAATCCTTATTGAGGTTGCAGGAACAAGCCATCCCTAAGTGTAGAAAGAATAGTAAATATGGCAGACGACCAGCTTGGCTTAACAGTGAAATCCTTGCTGATCTTAAACACAAAAAAGAAGCTTACAAGAAGTGGAAGATTGGACAAATGGCCAGGGAGGAGTATAAAAATATTGCTCAGGCATGCAGGAGTGAAATCAGGAAGGCCAAATCGCACTTGGAGTTGCAGCTAGCAAGAGATGTTAAGAATAACAAGAAGGGTTTCTTCAAGTATATTGGCAACAAGAAGAAAGTCAAGGAAAGTGTGGGCCCCTTACTGAATGGGGGAGGCAACCTAGTGACAGAGGATGTGGAAAAAGCTAATGTACTCAATGCTTTTTTTGCCTCTGTCTTCACGAACAAGGTCAGCTCCCAGACTACTGCACTGGGCAGCACAGCATGGGGAGGAGGTGGGCAGCCCTTTGTGGAGAAAGAAGTGGTTTGTGACTATTTAGAAAAGCTGGATGAGCACAAATCCATGGGGCCGGATGCGCTGCATCTGAGGGTGCTAAAGGAGTTGGCGGATGTGATTGCAGACCCATTGGCCATTATCTTTGAAAACTCATGGCGACTGGGGGAGGTCCTGGATGACTGGAAAAAGGCTAATGTAAGTGCCCATCTTTAAAAAAAGGAAGGAGGAGGATCCGGGGAACTACAGGCCAGTCAGCCTCACCTCAGTCCCTGGAAAAATCATGGCGCAGGTCCTCAAGGAATCAATTCTGAAGCACTTAGAGGAGAGGAAAGTAGTGATCAGGAACAGTCAGCATGGATTCACCAAGGGCAAGTCATGCCTGACTAACTTAATTGCCTTCTATGAGGAGATAACTGGCTCTGTGGATGAGGGGAAAGCAGTGGACATGTTATTCCTTGACTTTAGCAAAGCTTTCAATACCGTCTCCCACAGTATTCTTGCTGGCAAGTTAAAGAAGTATGGACTGGATGAATGAACTATAAGATGGATAGAAAGCTGGATAGATCTTCGGGCTCAATGGGTAGTGATCAATGGCTCCATGTCTAGTTGGCAGCCGGTATCAAGCAGAGTGCCCCAAGGGTCGGTCCTGGGGCTGGTTTTGTTCAATATCTTCATTAATGATCTGGAAGATGGTGTGGACTGCACCCTCAGCAAGTTTGCAGATGACACTAAACTGGGAGGAGTAGTAGAGACCCTGGAGGGTAGGGATAGGATACAGAGGGACCTAGACAAATTAGAGAATTGGGCCAAAAGAAACCTGATGAGGTTCAAACAAGGACAAGAGCAGAGTCCTGCACTTAGGACGGAAGAATCCCATGCACTGCTACAGACTAGGGACTGAATGGCTAGGCAGCAGTTCTGCAGAAAAGGACCTAGGGGTTACAGTGGACGAGAAGCTGGATATGAGTCAACAGTGAGCCCTTGTTGCCAAGAAGGCTAACAGCATTTTGGGCTGTATAAGTAGGGGCATTGCCAGCAGATCAAGGGACGTGTTCATTCCCCTCTATTCGACATTGGTGAGGCCTCATCTGGAGTACTGTGTCCAGTTTTGGACCCCACACTACAAGAAGGATGTGGAAAAATTGGAAAGAGTCCAGCGGAGGGCAACAAAAATGATTAGGGGGCTAGAGCACATGACTTATGAGGAGAGGCTGAGCGAACTGGGATTGTTTAGTCTGCAGAAGAGAAGAATGAGGGGGGATTTGATAGCTGCTTTCAACTACCTGAAAGGGGGGTTCCAAAGAGGATGGATCTAGACTGTTTTCAGTGGTACCAGATGACAGAACAAGGAGTAATGGTCTCAAGTTGCAGTGGGGGAGGTTTAGGTTGGATATTAGGAAAAACTTTTTCACTAGGAGGGTGGTGAAGCACTGGAATGGGTTACCTAGGGAGGTGGTGGAATCTCCTTCCTTAGAGGTTTTTAAGGTCAGGCTTGACAAAGCCCTGGCTGGGATGATTTAGTTGGGAATTGATCCTGCTTTGAGCACGGGGTCGGACTATATGACCTCGTGAGGTCCCTTCCAACCCTGATATTCTATGATTCTATGACTGCCAAACCATGGGAGGTCAATGCAGAGTGCCAGCGGGTCTCCATAGGTGTGGGAACTAGTAAATTATTATCTGTTTTCAGAAGCTCATAACTTTCTGGAAAATATTTCTTTCCAGCTCAAATTTTACATGCATAGGTTAGCCCCAACCTACAGATGGAGTTCTAAGGAAAGTTTGGGGGGGGGGAAGTTCTCCTGCTTATGAGTTATGAAAGGTGAAAAAAACCTCATACTTTCCCCAAATTTAAGTAATCTGAGATATACTTTTCCTCTTACAACTAAAACAAAACAAAAAACAGACGAAACTATAATCTGAACTGTTCATGTTAACTAGTCCTCAGTAAGGATGAAGCCCTTATGTTATTTGAAAAAAAAAAATTAAGTCAATTATATACATGTACAGTGGAAATTTTTGTTACTGTGGGAGCTACTATGCTAACTGCAGCTCTACATTAACATACTAATTAGTATCTTTGCAGATAAAATGGATTCTCTACTGAAATCTTAATTCTCCTGTGGAGCAAATGAGCTCTGCAGGAGGGAGCCCCTATTCTGAAGAGTTTATAAATCAGTGTAAGGGTCAGTTTTACAATGTTGAAAGCAACAGAGCTTATAAGCTCTCCAAGATCAATAATTTCCGTTGAAAGAATTTATAAATTCAATCAACAAATCCATGGATGTGTAAACTCTACAAGCCTAACGTGCGCCAAATTTTTCTTGTTTTTTTTTTGTTTTGTTTGGTTTCCTCTGTTTTGGGGCTGGTTATTTATTTATTTTTGGTAAAAACCGGCAAATTAAAATACAAAATCTTAATGATTAAGAACCTAAGTGTTAAAAATTAAGAAAATAAAAGTTACTGTATTCATGTTATCCATGCCATGTTACATTTACATTGCATTTAGCACTCCTGTGTTGCTTTTAAAATTAGTATATTAATATACTGTCATTAAATATATACGGTATTCAGATTTTACTCATGACGTGTCAACATTACTATAAAAACTGTAACTTGATTTCTTGCCATGAGAGTTTAAAATGCATACCTTAACTATTGATATACAGTTTGTATAGGTATGAACGTGAATTCACACTAGAAAAATCCCCTTCTGAAGGGCAACACTGATTTAAACATAGTAATGCTGAAGTCAATTTTAGTGAAAAAGCATCTTTCTGTTCAATGGAAAATAAACCTTTCTGAGGAAAGAGAGAAAGCTAAACCAGATCAACATACGTTGAGGTGATTGTGTAAGCAAATAAACGTGTTTACAGTTACCTGTCACTGAGGTGGAGGAAACTGCTGCTCTCATCGGGATGTTCATCTTCAAAGCTTAGATTGGACCAGCTGCCAGTGCTATCATCACCAATACTGAGACTCATCTGCTGGCTAACTATAGATTCAGCTGAGTGAAACCCTTCTCTTCCCATAGAACTAAACAAAAATGAAGATGACAGCATTACTAGGTGTATTTCACATTGTTCTGCAAAAATTCACTGAGCCTAATTAGCAAAGCAGGGGACATTTGTCAACTGACTCAACTATTCCCTTTTGGATTTACAATTCTCAGAGACTATATATTACACTTTTGTAAGGAGATTCAAGTCTGGGAGCACCACTTAGGACCATCTTTCACTGGGGAAGTTGGGCAGTAGCATGGACACAAACCCTAATTTGAAAAACTAGTTTGTAGCATTCCAGCATTGGCAGAGCCCTAGTGCCTGGGCAGTTCAGTCTTGTAGACTTCAGATTTACTACAGTGACTACACCTACACAGGGAGGACCTGGCATCTTTGGACTTGTCTGCACGACAAAATGTTAGCTAAAATTTCCCAGTGTCGCTCTGACCAATTCAGCTTCATCAAGGCTAACACAGTCACTGGCATTTTAAGCACCCTGTCATACAGAACTGCACAAGGGTAGACAACATGATGCTTAAAATGCTGGTGGCCTCCTACAGCCCTCTCTGTATTAGAAAAAATGTCCTAGTGTAAACATAGGCTTAGTCTCCCTGTTTCAGAAAAAATAGGCATGTCCATTTATTTATAGACTTTTCCCCTCTGCACAAGAAGCCTGAAATACCTAGAACCAACTCAAGTGAGCAGGCTTAATTTGCATTAAAGGTATTTATAAAACCCTTCATCAGACCCATTCTAACAACACAAAAGAAAACTGAGGTCATTTTGAAAAGTGGTTCAGTCTGAAAATTTGCCTGGCAAGTGCATATAAACTACTCTTAGGGACATATTGTGGCTGCACATGTGCAGCTGTGCTATGGCTAGAGGGTACAGAAAGTCCTATTTGCTCACCAACCCTTCAAAGGAAACAGTCGTAATACGGCTGCTGTGTTCACAAAGTACGAAGATGACCATGATTGTGCTACAGGCAACACTTCACATTTTAAATGGGGTATGTGTGGTTCTGAGGTGTGGCAAGAGTCCTTTTCCACAACATTAGCTAATACCATTAGGTGAGTGCTATGAGGGGAAGGAGGGAAAAGGGAGAGACAGGCAGACACACACACTTTTTATACCGTGTACTAAGTACAAATGATGAATATGCTCCTCACAGCAACCTTTGGAGTCCGTATATCTTATAGAGGCACAATGTCTCCCTCTGACACTACTGGACTGGTGCATAGCTGCTTCTCCAATCCATCATTCTCTTGGGCTCTCAGCACCATAATTAAACTTGAAACTTTACATGAAGTTTTGATTAAAAAGCTGCATTTCTGAACCTCTGGCTGAAAAGTGACATTTCTGACATCAACAGTATAAGAACTCAACAGCACTTTATTTATAAGGTATATTCTCATTTAATATTACATGTACTCTGAATAAGGATTCCAAATAACCTAAGTACAAGGGCCAAGTAATATGAATTCTCAGTCTTCTATCTTTATATGCTACAGGGAACTTTTAGTGGAAGGTCTATACTAGAAGGCAATCAAAAAAGGACAGGAAAAGTTCCTTGAGTTTTGGTAGCAGTTCTGTGAGAATGAAAGATCTATCTTTTAGAATATAAGCTCTTCAGGGCAGAAACCATAATTTATTATGTGTTTATACACATCATAATTTTGCCTTGAAAAACTGGGAGTAGCCTGGTTGGAGCCATTAGGCACCACCACAGTACGTTAACATATCCAGGTATTTACATTATACATCACCAGACCATCTCAGAGTCAAGCAAATAAAACATAGTTTATTGCCAAGCAGATCTCACTCCAAGGCCATGATGAGAGAAATACATTGTTATTATTACTCAGTGAAAAACTACGCTGAAGAGATAGGTCTTGCACTTGGACATGTAAATGGTGTTATTTGAAGTCACTCTGATCTTTGTAAAATCTATTTTCATTAAGAACTAGATGTTAATGTACCTTCTCATTTACTAATTCAACCACATTCAGTGCCATCTTCTATCAAGATATTTAAAGACATTCATTTCTTTCAATGTACCTAAAAAATATGGTATAGTTTAAGGACTTGTAATACATTAGTCCTTATCAACAATGTAGCAAGAGCCTGCAAACCAGTTTCTAGTCTGCTTTAATGATCCTTTATCAACTAAAATCATATATAAAAATAAAATCATTCTTATTTAATATTTATTTCATATTTCTATTTTCAAATATACACAATTTTTTTCTTCCAGAAATTAAGACCGTGTTAAACTGCAATTACAATCAAAATAGACTATGTAAACACCTACTTAATGTAATACGTTTGCTCTTGGTGTACATTGCATGTCACAGATTCTGTAAGTCAGTACTTTACAGCTAATGCAGCTATAGACAGAATTGGATTATACTGTGGCTCACAGATCAACTGAATTGTCAACTAAATTCCAGTAATTTATATCACTGATAAAACAATCTGATCAGGATGTTAGAGAAAACAAAATCACAGAATCCCATTTACCAGAGTCACCCATCAGAGCATAAGTACATTCTAAAGTAGGCTAGAAACTAGTTTGCACTGACATTGAGCTCCTGTAACTGACAAGATCATTATTATTAAAAAATTCCAAACAGCCTGGAGGCCACCAGCAGGAGGTTCCAAAGTAAACTTTATAATTTAAAATTATATTTTCAGAATGTAATTGTGGCAAAAAGTGCTTCTGACCATATACATTTTCAGATTAATAAATTAAGCAAAGTGGGTGCCATTTTCTGGTAACAATAGCAAGAGAATAAGAGGGAGAGAATGTAATGTTACCTTATGTTAACAGCCTGACCAATATTAGTCATAGCTGAAGTCATTATTTCTGTAGTAAGGCTTTCAGCAAAGCTGACTCCACCATGTCCAATACCACTATCAGCTGTCAGACTTGTGTTACTCAGCTCTCTCTCTGCTTTCTCAATAGCTGCACCAACCACCTTCTCAGAAAATACTGTCTTCTGTTCCATGTCAATGTGAATTTTGGGAATATCAAGGTGAAAAATTCTTGATTTTTGACAGACACCACCCAACCCTGAATTGGGGATCTGCCTGATTCTAGGGAGGGGTTCTTGTCCAGGCAGGTGTGGAGATGAACTTCCAGTACAATACTGATATTCCTTCATACTACAGTATCTGCAGGCTGTTCCAGAAAATGGAGACAACTTTTCTGTGTAAGTGAATCTATCCCCATTTTTTCTGTTTTCAGCAGCTTGGAGAACAGCAGACTCCAAACTCATTTCTAAGGTGTCATCCACTACTTTTCTAGCATACTCTTCTATAGCTTGAATGATGCCTTCTCGGTAGCCATATTCATTTAAATTGCCTGTGCTATGATACAGTTTATGTTTTTGTGAGAAAGGAAGAACCGTTTTAGACAGTGTTGTTTTAAGGCGGTCCCCTGTGGCTTCATCAAATTTAGATTTTCTATACAGACAGGAATCTGTTAAGGATTTTGGCAAGCAAACTGCTGACATTTTCAGTTTTCTTCTGACATCACATGTTATACGATGAGCAAGGGATTCAGAAAAATGTAACAACTCTGTACCTTCAGTTCTGTGTACATTGTTTATTTCACAGGCTTGGCCTCCACACCTATGAACACCACTTTTCATTTGCCATTTTGTATCCATATCTTTGTTCAATATTTTGAACAGCTCAAGCCTACCATTTACCTGTGTGTTCTGTACAGGAAATATTCTTCTGTTGTATGTCAGTTTGATTTTCCTGGCAGCTTGTTGTAGGCCTGATTTTATAGATCTATAAGCAAGTCTACTAGCATACTGATCCACTATTAACTCACTGTTGCCACCTTCCCTTTTCAGAACTCGAATGATGTGATCTGCATATTCATCGGTCACGCTCTCACAGCTTGGATACCTGTAAGTCAGACTGGTTGTTCCTAAACTCTGAGGTAAAGAAAGTACGGATGAATCTACCTCTCTGGACCACTGGTTTACTACCGGACACCACCCCTCTTTTGACCTACAGTCTCTATCATCTTTTCTGAGAGAAAGACAATCTACATGACAGTTAACCCGCTTCAACCTCAGCAGCTTGCAATGCCTTGATTTTATCATCTTCTTAGCCTCACTGATAACCTTTCCAGCCATATCACCTGCATAATTCCACAACGAATGTAAAGTTTCTTCTGGGATATTTATAAAGGCAGTATACCCACATATTTTGTTTTGTGCATTTAATTGGCAGTGTCTGTCAGCTTCTCTTTTAATTGTTTTATCATCTAAATGGGAAGCAGCCATTTCAGTTGCCATAGAAATGATATGACCAGCTAAATGATCAGCATACTGTACTGTTTTCTCTGAATGTTCAGTTTTCTCCACAAGCATTTCAGAGTGTTCTTCGTCTTCACTGCTTTCAACTTCTTCAGAAAGTGATCGCATGAGTTTCAGCATAAACTCTTCCTTTTCCAAGGAGTCATGTTCAGTTGCAGACAAGGCAGCAGCAGATGAGTTATAGGGTGTAGAAGGTGGTGTCGCAGGTGCAAACTCCTTTGCTAATTCTCCCTTGAGTTTCTTGGTTAGCTTCCTTAGGTTCCATTCAGAACTAGTCTGAGATGGTACTAAAGGAGTTGGTGGTGGTGTATCAGGTACTGCACAGACATTTCCATCTCTGATGCTTGATTTATCTTCCATCTGCAAAGAATCTTCACAGCCAAACATCACCAAAGAAAGGTTACTTGCATGTAGAAAACAGCTCTCCTGCCCAAAAGCTGAAGGAGCTAGCGTTGTTTTTTGCATATCATGTTTTTTCAATAGTTTACTTTGGGATTTTATTGAACAGCTTCCTGAATCAGTAAACTCTTCTACATTACACCTAGCGAGAGTCACAGTAGGACAAGGAGGTGGAGTGCTTGAAGAAAACCTACGTACTTCATTTCCTTTACGTTCCTGAACACAATCTTTAGGTACTGAAAGTAAACACTGAGCAGAGTCAACTGACGTAACAAGAAAATTAGGTGGGTTATTCAGAGGCAGCTGTTGCGGTTCCACAATTATAGGAACACATCTGTGATTCTCAGATTCTTGTTTCTTTACTGCACTACGCAGTTCTTTTTTACAGTTATCTGTGTTCATCTGTAAGCCTCCATTACATTCTACAGTCTCATTTGTGTGGGAGAATATAGATTTAGTTTCATCTACAGACTGTTTTACAATATACTTGGACAAATGATCAGCAAAAGTATTCTTAGGGATATCTCCACCAACACGCTGACAACGAGGTGTTTTTCTAGTTACAAAATCTGTATATTCCTCCACTGTTTTGGTAACCCCAGATGAGGTTATTGCTTCATACGCCTCATTTACTATCATATCTACCATTGTTCCAGAGAAACTGTTGATGCTTGTTGGCCCAGTTGTTAAATCTGAAATATTATTCACTCCGGGATTGTTGTTTGTTTGTTTGAAATCATTCTGGTTAAAAAAACATTGCCCACTACTTTCACTGTGATCTGCAGTCAGGTAAATATTTCTAAGAGAAGCCACTTCCTCTTCTCTCTTTTTTGTTGTAAAATATGGCTGTGTAGCGTCTTTGTACATTTTCAGACTGCCATCTGCTGTCGGACAAGTCCATACTTTTGCCTTATAAACATCAGATGAAGTCTGATGTTGACAAAGTGCTGTTCCAGCTAAGGGCACTGGTATTGAACTTACAACACCAGAAGTACAAAACAAGGCTTGTTGTACAGTATATTCTTTTCCAGTTTCTTGTATTGGATTCAATGCTAAAAGTGCATTATCATGAAAATTAGGAAAAGTAGTGGTAGTCTGTGTTGACTGCAATGTACTTTCTGCACTTACATATTTTATGTTGTCCATGGAAACACTAATTGCTGCTTGCGTTGTGAAGGTAACATCAACCTGGGATAATTCAATGAAAGCTTCCTGAATGACAGATTCAGACAAATCTTTGGCATATGATCTCACTACTTTGTCTTCATAATCAAAGGGCCAATCCCGTGCAGTCGTTGGTGTTGATGGATGTGAAAACTGGCAGACTTCCATGATTCCCTCAAAAATAAGTTCCTCAGTGAGGTCTGCTGCAAATCTTGCAACTGTGTTAGTAAATATTTGTTTCTTTACGTATCGCATTTCTTTTAAAGCACTTGTTATAGCTTCACTGACCATAAAGCTTGCTAGCCCATTAATGGCACGTTCCTTCAGTGACAAGGCTCGCCGCCTTCCTATCTCATAAAAAGCCATTTGAAAGACTGAAGAAGTCAATCTAGCAGCCAAGTGACACAGTGCATTGGTGCATGAAGAAACTCCTTTTTGTAAGTCTTTAAATGCACTACCAAAACTTTTTTCAACCAGTTCTGTTGCAAATTTTTGTATGCTGTCTTTAATCATTAGTGATTTGTGTTTAGATTTAACTTTCTTATCTGGCTCGTCAGAAGTTTTCCTCTGGAGTTCTGCATTTTGACCTTTTCCCTCTTTTGAGACAATCCTATTAAGGCTGGAAATGTTTTCAGCATGTTTCTGTAGTGATGTAGACGGAGAATGAAAAACAGAACCCAGTATTTCAAATGAAACACTGTTTGCATAATCTGAATATTCACTATAAAGTGTATCATGATTTTGATTAAGCCCATCTCCATTGATATCCATCCGACAAAGACATTCAGTTGAAGCACAGTTCCCTAGTGGGCTGAAAGCTGATGATCTTATAGGGCTGAACAAACTTCCATTGTCTTCTCCTGTTTTCACTGGCCGAGGGGAGTCTGGAACATCAAAGAGGTTGCTATAGGGCGATTCTGGTTTACGAGGAGTTGGCTTCCTTACATTGGCTGGAAGAGTGGGACGATCAAACTTGAATTTTTGAGGATTCATAGTAGTAGTTTTAGAATACAATTGTTCAAGGGCAATCTTTCTCTTCTGGGGTGGGTTACCAAGGATGGGATCCCTTATAAGTTTACAAGTACTTTCCAGAGTCTGTTCCAGTTCATCAAACTGATCAAAACTATCAAAAAATTCACTTACTTCTGAGTCTGAGTCCTCTATACCATCTTTCACTACTGGAATTTTTGGTAGCTGAAGTTTTGCCTTCAAGCTTTTTTGATACCCTTCTTCATCTAAGAAGATAACAGGGCTAGGGCTGGAGCAATCTGACTCAGATGATTCAGCAGGAGAGGAAGAAAACAATGTTTTATGCAAAACATTAACATGTTGATCAGAGGAATTACATGGCTTGTAAAAACTCCTCTGTATCCAAGGATCAGAAATAGAGGTTGTGACTGAATTCTTTACAGATGAAGACAGTTCTTTAAGTCCCAAGATATTTATCAGAGAAGCAGAAGATTTGGCAGATGATTTTCGACGCCCAGAGCTCACAATGATCTTTGAGTCAATAGCTTCTAAACAATGAGCAGGGATGGTCTGTGAAGCAGCATCCCGGAGATTCTTAGTAGTATAGGTTGTACCTAAAAAGAAAAAGAAAATACTTTAAAAACAAAAGAGACTAAAATAGCAAACTGGGTAATTGATTTTGATAGCAATATCTAGATTTGTAATTATTACAATAGGTTAGAGGGTCTTTTAAGACTAGAGAAAATGTTAAAGAATAAAGTATTCCATAAGCACTTTTTTTTGTCAATGATAGTTCCCCTACTACTGCAGGTCTTCTTCTTAGCATATGCGCAATGTGCCTCAGGTGGCGCATGGCCAGGATTCTTCACGGAATTTGGTCCACTGGTTGGATCATTAGCTTCCCCAGCCCGGGCTGGGTACTGATGAGGAGTGTGAAGTGAATGGGACTAAGAGCTCTTGCCTTCATATCACAGATTCTACTTTTTCTGGATCCGACACCGAGTCAAAATCTTTGCTTTATGTCACATGCATGCTGATGTGGAAAGAATGGTGAAATCTCAATTTTTTTTTTTTTTTTTTTT